AGATTATAGTTACATGATTGGGTATTTATAAGATATAAATTAGGGTTAACAACTTGCTAAACAAGAAACAACTAATGGGCCCTTTAATTAATAACTAAAACCGGCCCCCCATATTTCTTCCCTTTAACCGACCGGGCTTAAAGCCCAAAGCTCTAAAGCCTTCACCAAATAACCCAACAATCTCCCACTTGAAGGATTTTGCATAGACACAAATGCCATCCAAGTAAACCCATCATGAGTAACTCAGTAATCTTCACTGTCAAGTCCTCCAAGCCTCCAGTTCCCAAGAACAAGCTAAGACTCCAGTTATATCCCCTAGTTGCAACCACCCCCTTCATTGATAACCTGAAAGGACAGTTGAAGCTCCACCGAGCTCCAACCCAGTCGTGACTGTAACCGCCACAGCCTCTGTCCCAACCGGCTTGCACAATCCACCGGATCCAGAGATACATTGAGGACCATTACCACTCTCCAAATCCAGCAAACTATTCCCAGGAGAGATTTTAACGTTCGGATTCTCGGTCCTCAAAACCCAACAACGTTTCACAACTGTACTCGGAACACGTCCCATGCTCCCACTGTCACGAAACCCCTGACCTGATTCAGACCTCCGAACACACTCAACTGTCATCCCCAAAACTCCAAGATTCACGTTTGCAAAATGAACCTTCTTAGCTTTGCCCGATTCAGTGAGCCCGACTTTGTTAACTGTCTTTACCGGGTTGGTCACTCCCTCAGACGTCACCGGTACCATGTATAACGATCCTCTTTTCAAGCATCGAGCAATAACCAAATTTCCTTTGATCACCTTCCATTTTCCACCACCAAACTTGACGTCTAGTCCCTGTTCATCCAATTGTCCGACTGAGATCAACTTTGTCTTCAGTCTTGGAATCACCCTGACATTTTGTAAGCTCCAAGTAGTTCCAAATGAAGTTTTTAGATCAATATCTCCCATGCATGTCACTTTAAGGATTTTCCCGTTACCCAACTTTACCTTTCCAAAGTCTCCCTTTTTGAGATTCACCATCGCCTCACCGCTGTGCATGGCGTGAAATGAAGTACCAGAATCCATGACCCAAGAGTCAACATAGCTTTCTATGTGAGTATCAATGCATCACTATCATCATCAGATGCATTCCCAACAACTGTGCTAATTTCGTTTTTCTTGTTTGGGCATTGACTCTTGACATGCCCAACTTCTTTGCAGACCCAGCACACCACATTCTTTCCAGCCTTAGACGAGCTCTTCCCACGACTCCCACTGTTTCTGTTATTACCTTTTCCCCTGCTAACAGTGAGTATCCCAGAAGTATATCCTCCACTAGCGTTCCTCCGGCGAATGTCTTCACCCAAAACACTATCCCGTATCCGATCAAACTTCAAGTTTCCTGTTCCAGCAGTTTCAGTAACCGTTGTCACAAATCCCGACCAACTATCAGGCAAGGAAGATAACAGAATCAGCCTGAGTGTCATCATCGAACTTCATGCCTACTGATGACAACCTCGACAAGATCGAATTGACCTCATTAATGTGATCAGCAACTAAGCTGCCCTCGTTCATTCTCATCATGAACAATTCCCTCATCAAGAACACTCTATTACCGGCCGATGGTTTCTCATACATATTTGACAGAGCTGTTAACATACCACGAGCAGTTGTTTCCTTCATGATATTAAACGCCACACTCCTCGTCAAAGCTAGTGTAATTTTACCTCTTGCCTTTTTGTCCTTTGAGTCCCAAATT